TTAAAATGTAATGTGAACGTTCACACAAAAAGATCGGATTTTTTCAAAAAATCGGAACTGAGCATTAAGACCTGCAGTGTGAACGTAGCCTTAGGTTAAAGTCTGAACACAGTGACTTCTAATGGTTATCTCCTTTTGGTGCATCAAAAGAGAGTCAAAATATTACTCTTAATTCCACTAACAGTAATGTCCTTGTTAATTCCACTTTAATTAGTTTGTTCCAGCCTGAGGTTTGAGGGATTAAAGTTGTGTATTACATCTTGACTTCTCTCCACTTTGGAGATTGTTTTTTTAGCCTCTGGTACTTCCTGATGCTCTCATGGTCTTCCTTTGTAATATTACAGGCTGCAACCATTGCAACATCTGTCAAAATTGTTGTTTTCTGCACATCGTCTTTCACCATTGTGTTTGGCAAATTGGTCAGCATTCAGGATGTCCTTGGCCCTGGAGAATTGTGTTCTGCAGTATTAAAATGTTAGCTGTTACCGTTGTCTGCTTATGATACATTAGAGTGGAGAACCTTGTCCTCAGAAAAACTTCACCTTCCTCCACCCTCTGCTGCTTAAGGCTCTTTGTATGTTTATCCCAGCAGTGAGGGGTTGACATATTTATGGATGTTTCATCCTGGTTAGAGGCTCTGACACTGACTAATGCTCAATAATCTCTGCAGTACATGAGCACACACCCACAGTAACATCAAGTAAATTAAGATAAAATGCTACTTTTTTCCCAACATCTGCATGATACCAGTCAAAAAGTTTATGAATGAATTATATTTTAACACACTCAATCCTAATTCATGCTCTAGATCAAGTTTTTAAAGTATCAGTATGTTGGTTATACACCAGAATATATCACTTGACCACAGTGTGCTTATTCCACTTATTCAGAATCATCATTCTGTTGAGCTCGGACTGTTTTTTGTAAAATATATTTACTTACATTATTATTGTTCTGCTTTATTTCTTTATATATATTAAAACAAAAAATMGCTTAAGTGAACAAAGATGAGAGTTTTTAAACCTTATTTTTTTGTTAAGCCACACAGCTGGGATCTCACTTGTATGAATACATTCAGTCAGATATAAACAGAACTTAGACAATTTTTAACATCAGTCTTTTAAAGGCCACCCACCCTTACTGTGGGACATTTTGGGACAAAGGTAGCACAAATGTTGTCAGCAKATTCTGTGTGAGGAGGATGGTCTTRATAAGAGTTGCTTTAAAAACTGTCATAATAATTTATTACGCTCATCTGAGCTTTTCGTTTTTCATGAACCTTCATACTCSTTACAATTATACATAGAAGAGAAAAATAATATGAAGGTGGGCTCCTGAACAAACAGAACTTGATGGATGGATGGATGGATGAATAGATGTGATAAACAACTTTTTATCCATCCAACCAATCCAACTTTATTTGTAAATCACGTTTTGCACCACAGCAGACCAAAGTGCTGTACAGAATCAACATTCAAACACAGCTCATGCAAAAAACTAATTCAATAAAATAAACGCAGAAAAAATAAAAGTAGGAAATACAAACAGGAAGTAAAAACAGAAAATAAAAACAGTAAAATGCCTAAAACCTAATTTAAAAAACTACAATAAAATCAAGAAAATTTCTACAAAAAATAAAATCTGGTGCAAAATGGACAACCCCTTACCTTACACAGTGTCAAAAGCCAATGAAAACAAGTGGGTTTTAAGATGTGTTTTAAAGACAGCCAATGAAGAGGCCTGTCTGAGTTGGAGGGGTAGTTTGTTCCAAAGTTTAGGAGGTGCTGCAGCAAAACATCGACCCCCCCCTTCAGTTTGTCTGGTTTTAGGGACCCTCAGGAGCAGTGGATCAGCTGGTCTGAGGGAGCAGTAGGGACTAAAGTTCAAAGTGATCATGAGAATGGGGAAGAAAGGGGATTTTGGGCACATGGTTGTGTGTTCCAGATTCAGAGTATTTCAGAAACTGCTGATCTTTTGGGGTTTTCACTTACAACCATCTCTGGGGTTTACCGCAAACATCCAGCCAACATCCAGCCATGGTATCTGTATGGATGAAAACGAACAGGTTGGTTTTACATCATATAAAGGCGAAGGTAGCTCCACTTACCACTTGTTACAACCAATGTTTGCAGAATTTCTAATCTGAAATGAACTCTGAACACATCAAGTGAACACATCAAGCCTTGAAGCAGAACGCTCTTGCCAGGTAAGAACTGGAAACAGAGGCTGCAGTTCCCAGTTCCAACAAAATTGGATAACAAAAGACTAGAAAAACAAAGCATTGACTGATCTGATGAGGGTTTTTTTAACTCCAGATGTCTAAATGTGAATTAATTAGTTTTTGAAATACTCATAGCAGCCAATTTGCCCCTGCTTCACTGTCAGAAAATGTGATTTAGTTCTTGTAACATTTAGTTTTTAGGTTGTTTAGAGCAGTAGTTCCCAAACTTTTCAGCTTTTGACCCACAAAATAACAATAGCAGGGACCTGTGCCCCCAACTATTTTTGGATGATGAACATTTTGTATCAGGTCAACAAAACATGGGCATAGTAGCAATATTTTTATACTACATTTATCCATATCCATCCATATCATAGAATTTATCATTTTAATGGTTCAACCTTCAACAATACAGTGATAACTGTTTCAAAATCAATAGTCTGAGCAGCTATTTAGCAGGTATAGTGAAGGCTGATTTCATTTTTTCACAATTTTTGTCGTTTCATGTTTTTTTCACTGACGCTGTTTCTAACTGATGTTTACTGTTCTTGTGATAATTATCATGTTTTCATTTTAAAACTTGATTAGTTTACATGGTGTGACTGCAATTCTCTCACCATTCACTATCCACTCATTTGGACAACAAGATATATTCTTTCCTGATATGATTTATTTGGTTGTTGTTGTGTTCTCATACACCAGCTCATATGTGGGTCAAAACTACAGTTTCAGCCAATCCGCACACTAAATGTACCCCCTGGGGTTGGTAATGACCTTAACTGAAGAAAAAAAGAAAACAACTTTGATAGTTTGTCCCTTATTTAAAGTGACATCTCTTCTTGTCAGGCTTTTCCTCCGGTACATCTCTGTTCCACCACTCCTACTCACATCATAAACAGGCTGAAGAGTCGGTGTGGATTCACTCTTTACACAGCACTGGCTGTGGTCTGGTCTGTCACCAAAACAAAATTGAGCACAAACAACGTTCACATATTAGTTCTGCTAGTAGGTCTTGGGTCCAAAAGTTATAATAAACTAAAATTTGAACATATGTAATGATCCTTCTTGCATAATTAAAGGTATAATAGATGAAATATTTGCATTTAGATATACAGCTTTAATAAATGATCAGGAATTCATATTGTTCATATAAAATAAAACAATTAGTAAAAATACCAAAATGTTTGAATTCTTGTCACCTTTAAGTAAGGCAGATAAACTGTTAGACTAACAAGCTTGTGATGCGTATGCAGACATGCCCGTGTGCGTCACCATAATAAATACTTGTAAGTCTATTGTCGTGTTAATATTGCTCATGCATTTAATTAATCGTTTAATACCAAAGAAATGTCATCCAGATGGTATTTTTGTAGTCTCATGTCTCTGTTTAGGCTAGAGGCTTATTAAAGTTCCCCAAGACGGGCATAAATCATAATGAGTCGAGGCTAAAACATTTCTGAATTGACGTGTGAAGCRCCTTTCAGAGTTTTCCTGGCAGAAGATATACTCAAGTTTTATGTTTTTTTTTTTATTTTCAAGTGGCAATACATGGGCTTAAGTTAAATTCCATTTGTGTATAAGTTTGAAAAGTTACCTTTTTCCATGTGACCTTGCAGGTTTGAGAAGATGATAAGTGGGATGTACATGGGGGAACTGGTGCGTCTCATCCTGGTAAGGATGGCCAGAGATCAGCTGCTGTTTCAAGGGAAGACCACATCAGAGCTCCTCACCTCTGGATCCTTCAGCACCAGCTATATTTACACTATTGAGACTGACAAGTCAGTATGTTTGCATGTGTTTGTTTACTGCCATCATTGAAATGACTGCTTGTTTTTTTAAAAATTTATTTTAAGCCTTTTTAAGGCTTAAAAATGACTGCTTACTCAGTAGCAACTAACCGATGGTTTACTTTGTGAATTCTCAGCATCAGAATCTGAGTAGTAAAGAAAATTCAAGACATGTTCTACTTGCTCAAAACTAATTGTGTTGTCTTCATGTTTTAGCCCTGACAAAGTGATATTTTACAACATCGATAATTCTAGTTATTCAATTCAATTCGGTTTCTTTATATAGTCACAACAAAAAAATATATCTAAGAAAGCCAACAGGTTGCGTTGAATGACTTCATCACAGTCTCCTATTCTGAGCAGCACACTGGTGACAGTGGAGAGGAAAAACTCGCTTTTAACAGGAAGAAACCTCCAGCAAAACCAGAACCAGGCTCAAGACAGGCGGCCATCTGCCTCGGCTGGCTGGGTTTGTGGGGACAGGAAAGAGACACAGGCAAACACATGGCTGGTCCAGGTGTATTTTCTTCTGGAAGAGACACAAGAAAAAAAAAACATGTTATTCATAGAAATAATTAAAAACAAACATGTAGATCAGTGGTTCCCAACCCTGGTCCTCAAGGACCCCTATCCAGCATGTTTACTTGTCTCCCTGCTATTCAGCAGGTCTTCAGAAGATTGTTAATCACACATTCATTCAAACCATGTGTGTCAAATCAGGGAGACATCTACAACAGGACAGGAGTCCTTGAGGACCAAGGTTGGGAACCACTGCTTTAATACATGCTATCTGATTTATTATTTACAAATAARTGGCTAAGAATCAATGGCTTCTAAAGGGAACACCAAAAAAACAACATAAAACTAAGTCCATATTATATTTTGAAAATGTCTCATCAAGCTCAGAGAAGCTCTTGAGGTGTTGGTCAACAGGAGAGAGACTAAAGACAGCAGCAGAGTGAGGAWATGTGATCAGTTTGTCCTCCAGCAGTCAGAGACTATAGCAGCAGAACTAAGGAATAACCCAGGAAATCAACCCTAGGATTTATCAAAAAGGAAAGTCTTAAGTCAAGCCTTAAAWTAGATGGCCCCAGTATGCATTTGACTGTGGTTCATGGAGTCCTTAGTGCCACATTTAGGGCAATGGAGATTCAGATTACTATGCCAGCCTGGAATAYACTAATTACATGTATCTCTATCACTAAACGAGGCAAATGAGTCACTAAACATCTGACACACACAGCAAGTGAGGAATGAATATCTRGGAGAGAAGAAATAAGTAGCCATACTAAACTAACGCGAGCAAAAGCCAGCAGATCCCAAATACACCAATAAAGTCAAAGACAAAATATGTCTCGATCACAATYCCAATATTCCAATATTAAGAAAAACTGTATCAAGGGTGTTTTTGTACTAGAAGATGAACTGTGTAAAAGTTAGTCAAAATAGATTATTTGAGCAAACAAATTCATGAGCTACCAGCAGCAAAACAGGAACACAACACGTCGTACCTCGATTGTGAGCCGTGAAACACCAAACCATACCATTTACCATACTGCGTCTTCAATATACCAGTAGATGTTTACAGTTTTCTTTCACTAAATCTCGATGACTGAGTGAACATCAGAACAATTTTAACCCAACAAGGATTTGTAGTGACATCCCTCTCCGYAGTTAAATATCTTATAAAACGCTCTAACATTGCAGAGGTATGGAACAAGTAATTAAAACATTTTGCCACAGCACTAAAACTTAAAAACTTGTGACGTTTCAGCACTTTACCTCTGGTAGTAATCTGAAAACAAGTTTACATAATGAACATGGCATGAAAGTGCAGACTTGATTAGAATATCAAAGTCRGAGGAAAAGTTTAAAAATCACAGCTCCTTTTTTGTAGGAGCTTCTTTTTCTGAGTTCCAAACGCACWAACAACTCAAAGGCTGTTTTTATGTTAGGCACACAAATGTGTGGCTCACATCTCAGGTAAAATGTCTGGAGTTGATTACAAGTGCGGTAACTGTATTTGAATACTTTTTTTATATAAACTCAAGTTTTGCAGTCAGATTGGATCTAATTCAAGCAAATCATGTCAGATGCAGAGGAAAAGAAACAGAATATTTTAACCGGAAACACCCAGATAAGTGAAAAATGTTTTCCAAGAGGCAGACAAATTATCTAAGCCTGCTAAAAAATATCTTGTGTAATGAGAAGAAGTGTAAATATCTGTTGTGGAAAAGCATATTTTTGACAGATGAAAGATCAAACTGTGGCACAAAGATGAGAAGGAGAAGGTGGTTTGAAACAACTYATCTTTAAAACACATAAAGACTGTGTAATGAGGCAGGCATATTTAACTTTTAACAGCACTGGGTCACTTGTGCCTGCATGTGATGGGAGAAAAAGACAAAAAGGCCAGGTACATTTTAAAGTCATAACCTGTCTGATCACACTTACAGTATGTTAGTGCAAGACATATTATTGAATATTGCAAAAAGTTTAATAAGCTAAAATATAATGAGAGCAAGCAATAAGTTTCTAAGGATAAATTGGAAAACTGTGTCAACCTATTTTTTACCTGCAACCATTAAAGGCAGGTAATTTTGCAGTTGTGTGTGCGTGCGTGTGGGATGTTCTAAAGATTATGTTTGGGTAATTGGATGAATATATTGAGAATTGACTACAGGCCTGTCGYGATAAGCATTAAATCAATTAATCACATGATAAATTAATATGAGGTCGATAAATAAAATGAGTTAGATAATTTTTGCTTTTATGTCTTCCTCTTTTGTATTCATTAGTCAAGGGAGGAGGGAACTCACACATCAGGTGTTTGACAGGCTCGTGGTCTTGTAAGGTTTTTGTAGCATGAGAGTCCTGTGAACAGCCATTWAGCTACAGGAGTGTCTTCAGTTTTCCGACGCCTTCTTTTAGCTGGCGACACCCTCAGRGCATCRTGCTGAACCTTAGCATCACAGASAGGTTTWTTATTTTTTATTTTATTTTTTACACTAGATAAATTTTCTAAATTTCTGTAAACTTTGTAACCAGCGTGCGGGTGACTGCAATTCTTTGTGAAGCCAGACACAATGAATAAACTGTGCTGGCTTGGATAGAGGTAGGTAGCCATTTTCCATCTTCAGCAGTATTGATTTTCCAGTCTAGGTCAGTTCATAACTTAGTTTAAACTGGTCTCTAAATTGTATTATATTTTATCACAATCATTTCTGAGACAATTTATTGTCCAGCAAAACTCATTATTGTGACAGGCCTAACTAGATTCTGTCTACAGTAGTTTTTTTATGTACGATATTTTTCACTTTATTTTAGAAAACTCTAATACACCCTGATTGTGTGCAGTCTAACTTATTCATACAAGTATGTGTCTAACATCATGTGCAGCTCTCGTCAAACACCTGCTGAGCAGCTGTGAGACCTCTGTGGTTTTATAGCTCTGCAAAGATCTGTGTTTTACTAGTTCAAAAACCAACAACAGCCAAATAAAATATAATCCAAAATCTTTATAACTGTCAGATCAAATGAAGCCGCACTKTGGTACAGAGTTTTCTTCACAAAGCAGATGGTTAATCTGATCTAGAACTCGCCAAGGCAGATGTTTCACAATCAACTTTCAGCTGTTAAATACAGATTCCCTGACACATAAAACAACTAAAATTGTTTATATTTTCGTCATCATTAGATTCTGTTGCAATTTTCCATGAGAACACTTTTTTGTTTCAGTCAATGTACTGTATTGTTGAAATGGAAGGATCACAAAATTCGGTTTAGTTAATAGTTCCATAGTTTTGTTCTCAATGTACCCATGTTGTGGATTTTGATGCATTCAGTAGAGATTTTACGATGTTGGACATTAAAACTCCTGTCTTTCTAATATTTGCTTAACTGAATACAGTAATTTGCCTTAGATTTCGTCGTGGAGTTTCAGGTCAACTAATTCTGTTTTCTGCTCTACCTTTAGAGATGAAGAAGGCCAGGCAAATGCTGAGAAGGTGCTGCATGGTCTGGGTCTGGACCCATCGGTGGAGGACTGCGTAGCTACCAGGAGAGTGTGTCAGATCGTGTCTACACGGGCCGCTCATTTGTGTGCTGCCACACTGGCTGCAGTGCTGCGGCAGATTCGAGATAACAAAGCGGCTGAAAAGCTGCGCACCACAATAGGGGTAGATGGATCAGTTTACAAGAATCATCCAGAGTAAGTGATCCAGRACGCAATCCTGTGCATCTTAACCTTTTAATTGGTGAAATGTGGATTATAAAACGAGTGTCAATATAACCCTGCCCAGCCAAAAAAAAAAAGGTGCCACCTGGATGTAACTAAGGTTTATGATGTGGGGTTGCTGCAGGTGGTCAGGTCTATGTTCAGCAACAGTCTGTGCTCAAAG